ATATGGTTGTTTTATAGGTTGCAAATCATTCTCTAGTACTTTTGATAAGTGTCAAATTCTAGCAATAACTCAAGAACAATATGTTGTTCTAGAAATCTCTTAGGATTCTATTGTTCAATGGATCCGTGAAGGATATTCTTATGTGCACTTTAGATTATCGGAAAGTATATATGCAAAACTACGTTGCTTCAAGAATATGTAAACATGAACAACTTGACTTGTCAATATCGTGCCAACAAAAGATCGTGGATGATTGGGGTGCTTTTTGAGGAGTATGTTCGGTGGCTTGACGAAAGAATGTGTGGGAGAAAAATTCTCTTGGTGATAGATAATTGTCCAGCCCATCCAAAAAATATTGAAGGATTACAAAATGTTGAGCTTGTGATGCGGGGATAATAAGAGCTTTCAAGATACATTATTGCAGACGATTTTACCTTTAGAATTTTGGAGAATTTTGGAGGGCTATGAGCTGGAGGAAACAAATCCATAAAAAATAAATGTTTTGGATGCAATCAGTCTTGCAGTCTCAGCTTGGACAATAAATGTTCAGGCAAAGACTATAACAAATTGTTTTCGACATTGCAAAATTCGTTCTATGGAAGAAATAGCCTCAGAGAAATGAATCCTTAGATGAAGAAGGCATTCATGAACTTGAGACAATAATCTAATATTTGGGTTATTGTGATAGAATTTATGTAAATTACCTCTTGGATTACTCTGGTGAAAATGGTGCAAGTTCAGAGGTTTCAAGTTTAGAAGAAATTGTCGCTAACATCATTGAAAATCCTGCTATTGACAAAGCTAAGGATAATACAATAGCTTTGGAGCCTATTACGCACAAGGAAGCATTCAAAGCATCAACGACACTTTATAATTATTCAATCCCAAAACTTCTAGATACAATGAGAAAAATTAGAGATGAAATCCAATAATATTTAAATTTCAAGAAAAAACAAGTAACATTATAATCATGTTTTAATAAAATATCATAGTAAATTAGCAAATTATTTATCTATGATATAAATAGAATCACAAAGTTATGTAAGGTTTTCCAAAAAATTATTATTTATTAATTTATCAAAATTATTAATTTAACCTACTAGCCCAAGTCGGGACCGTAAGAAATTATTATATAATAAAGGTTATTAATTTATGGAATAGCAATTTATAGAGCCTATATTGTAATATGATGTTTCTAATTTCTTAAAGAATGCAGTCAATTCTGTAACAACTTTTAGGTTGGGTAAAATTAAAAACAATAAGTGGTATGAATAGTCTTGATAAATAGCTCTGCTTGGTTAATATTGCAAAAGTGAAAGTCATTTATTAGTTACGGCAATCTTTGTTTGTTTAGTGTGTATGACAAGTCTTGAAATCTTGCCCTTTAAGCTTCTAACTGTTTTTATATATTGGGTTTTCAACTCATTGATTATCTTTTTTTAAATTTCAGGTGGATTATATAAATTCTTCTGACCCAGCTTTTATTGGAGGAGCGAAGCTGTTGTGCATGTACTATGTTTCAGGCAAAGAAAGAATAGAAAATTAGAGCAAATCTATTATAATGATTTTTTGGATATTTTAGATAGTTTTGTATACTTTTAATAGTTTTGTATTTGACTTAATTATTATTATTATTATTATTTGAATATTTTCAATAAATACTACACTTATAACTTAATCTCACAAATTTTTTTTCATAACACCAACGTGATAACTCGCAATGGGTCACATCTGTTCACTATGGGTCTCACTTACTCATTATGAGTTGACCAACTGCAAGCTAGCATATCAGGATTGTGAGAGAAAGTTTACAAGATTGGATTGTGAGCCAATTTTTATCCATTTTCAATAGTTTGGTAAGTTGTAATGTGATCTTGCTAAAGAATCAACCCAAAATAATGATACCAATGGGCCATAAGAAGGCCTGAATTAATCTGGAAAAAATAATGAAATAAATGGGCCACAAGAAGGCCCAAACAAGAAGGCTACTGGAATTGCGAGACACAAATGGGCCATAATAAGGCCCAAATTGTGGGGGGAATCCTCACCTAGTACAGGGTGGGGACGAGGGACATTGTTTCCCTACAGAACAGGGATGGGGAGTCCCTGTCATCCCTGTAGTGGGGACGGGGAATCCCCTTATGGGGCAGAGACAAGGACAAGGATGGGGAATGGGGATCCCCGGCCGTACTCCGCTCCTTTGCCATCCCTAGTTTAGATTCCTTTTATGTTTCTATTCAATATAAAACTTTCTGATAAATATAGGTTGAGTCCGTGTAATTTTGAGATTTCTTATGTTAGTAACTATTCATAAGAAAGCTTTTCTTTTCTAGCAAGTGTTCATAATGGAAGTGTTCACACAGTATAGTAATAAAAAATGTTATCATGATTTCACTCTTTCTAATTGCTTGTTGTTGCTTTTTGAATTAAGTTTGGTTGATTTGTTTATGTTTGTCTTCTATGATAGTAACACAAAGGAAAGTGAGAATTAGATTGTTAAATCTTTTAGATCGACTCAATTTATTTAATTTAGCCTCTAATCCCGTAAATATCTGAAAGGAAGGATATCCTGTTGAATTCAATTTTGCTCAATAATTAATGATGATAAATATCTCTTTACTCAAAGATTGTTGGCTACCATCCATGTTATCTTGTCAATTGACTTATAAAATGAAGTCATAACTCATAACCCATCTTCTTCATAAAATGGCGACTTCTCTTTCCCACTTTCGTCTCTTTGTTTTCCTTGCATTGCATTGCTGTCAGAGAGCAAAGACCAAATGAGCTTGTCGAGGGATACCGGTGACAGCTTCCGCGGCGTTGGTGTTGCCATCGGCAATGATTACCGGTGAAAGGTGGGTAAAAATGTTTTGGACCAATGTTATGCGATGTGGAATCTTAAGTCTGCTTTGTGGCCTAAAGAGATGTAAATCATGGCCAAGTATTTTGGCATATGAAAGAGAATGGATTCTTCTTGGGATAACTGCACCTGGGTTAAAAAATCTACATGGGAAACTGAATGATTTTACTTTTGTTTTGTTTGTTTTTTTTTTTTTTTAATTAATTAAAAATGCGTTTATTTATAACTTTGATTTACATTTGATCGATCTATAATATTTTAACATTTGCTAGTGTTTTTGTTAAAATTTGACAAGATTGTACGAAATCATTCTACAGAATTAGATAGTCAACCTCCCTTTATTATCCAGAATTTTCTTTATTTTACAGCTAGCAATTACTTACTTTTAAGTTTTTAGTTAGCTGTTAGCTTGAATATAAACCTGTATAGAACCACAAGCAAATTTAAGAAAGTAATATATTTTTCTTCCCATTATTTTTTTCATGGTATCAAAGTGTTACACTCTTGGGAAGTGTCTTCTTTATTTTCCTTTTTAACCTCAAATGACTAACACTACCTCTAAAACAGGAACCTATGTTACTATTGATCCTTCAGATCCCTTTTATCTCCATTCCGCAGATCATCCAGGAATTAGTTTGGTCACCAAACATTTGAATAGTGATAATTACATATCTTGGAGCCAATCAATGAGCATTGCTCTAAGTGCGAAAAACAAAACGGGTTTCATTAACGATTCAATCAAGAAACCACCACCAACTGAACAAAAAATATGTCCTATGGAAAATATGCAACGATATGATATTATCCTAGATCCTTAATTCTATTGATTCTAAGATCAGTATAAGCGTGTTTTTATACAGAATCAACAGCAAAAGTTTCGGCTGATCTAAAGGAGAGACTTTCTCAAAACAATGCTCTTAGAATCTTTCAAATTGAGAGGGACATTGCTTCTTTACATCAATGGACCATGTCCGTGGCAACATATTACTCCAATTTGAAGGGCTTATGGGATGAACCCTCATCTTACAATGATCAACTCATTTGTACATGTGGAGCACTTAAGAAAAGTGAAGAACGAGAACAAAGAGGGAAGGTAATGCAATTTCTTATGGGTTTAAATGATTCATATTCTGGTATACATGGTCTATTCCATGATTCTCCAAGAAGAAAAACAACGTGATCTTGTTGTGTCTAGAGAAGTTTTGTTGGCAGATACACAAAGGATCAACAATGGTAGCAATTCATTCAACAAAGGGAAAGGAAAGTTGCATTGCAGCCAATGCAACGGAAATAACCATATGGATGATAGGTGTTTTCATCTACATGGCTTCCCTCCTAGTCACAAATTTCACAAGAAGGTATTATTAATATTTTTGATAATCTGAATTCTGAATCCATATAATTCTGCAGATGCGTAATTGTAGTCTTTAGGTGTTAGAAGATAAGCAACCATATATTTAGATATCCAGCTTAAAACTATAAAATTTGATGTTAAGTTAGATGAATATGGGTAGACAGCCTTAGAAATTACACAATCATTCCACATGTTATGTTCTATTCAACCCATGTTCATGTGCATTTGCACCCACCATTAAGTATGGTGATTGGGGAAGATGGAAAGTATCTCAAGTTTCTATTTATTTAGAAAATAATAATTGGCAATTGGACGAAAGATCCTAATCCCTGTCTTCATCTTCAGATAAATCTCCGGATGAAAATTATAAATTAAATGAATTTAATTAACGGTTTACATTAGAATTCTGTTTATGAAAAACAAAAATCAAACATCACGTGTGTTGTGTACAAATCAGTCAAAAGTGATATAATTACCAAACACATGGTGAACATCACATCATCATCATACCGCGTGCATAACAAACGCGCGTGTGAAAGACTATTCCTCCGATCTCCGCTGTCCCGTTACAAACTAGAACCGTTGGCCGTACAGAAGAATCCAAGTCTTGTCATAATCAGATTGCAATCGGCCCCACTAAACCCATAAATTTGTGTCCGAAAATCCCCGAATCAGGAGCGCGTGTTCCCAATTCCTTGTACACAGTGGAGCCCCCAAAATCCCCTATAAAGAGTACAAAAACAAGTAAACAACGACAACTGACCTCGAATCGAAACAGCAAAATTTTCTTTCCAGCTTCAGCTGGAACCCTCTGATTCTCTCTCTCAAATTTTCTCTGTAAATCTTGAATCTTAGATTCTTATTTCTTAATAAATTTTATTCTTTCCCTCAACTTTTGCCTAATAACAAAACCCTCCGATACATTCTTCCAGACTTCTCTCTTCTCTCTTCTCTATTCTCCTACCTTCTTCTTCTTGCCCTTCTTTCACCGAATCTCTTGGAGGGTTTTGTCCTTTTTCTCATTTTTCTTCCTCTGCATACTCTGAACTCAAGTTTCAACCTTTTGTTCTTTTTGTCTAAGCCATGAATTACCCGCTCATTTGTAACAATAACTCTTTTAGTACAATCAGTCCGAAGGTTCCAAGAGTCCGAGATTTCAATGTCAAGCCTATGTTTTGTACTTCTTTTCACAGCAATAACCCCAGTAGCAACACCGTTAACAGAGGTTTCAAGCTGCCCTTGATTGATAAAACTAGGCCTGTGTTGAGTCCCAACATAGTGAGAACAGGGTCAGGTGAAGTTTCTGTGAGGGAAAGCAAGAGGGGGAAGGGAGAGAAAGATGTTAAGAGAGGGTTTGGGGAAGTGGGAATTAGGCAGATGTTGGTTTTGTGTGGTTTGGGGTATTGGGTGCAAGGTTTCAGGTGTTTTCCATGGCTGGCTCTCAACTTTCACATGGCTCATAACCTTAACTTGCATCCTTCAACTTTGCAGCTTGTGCAGTATTCTGGAAATCTTCCCATGGTGGCCAAACCTCTTTATGGGATTCTCTCTGATGCTCTTTATATTGGCGGTGCTCATAGAATTCCTTATATTTGCATTGGAGGTTAGTTTCTTAATTGCATTTCATTGTTTCTTTCTATTCTTTAATTGTGTTCATCCTCAAAAGATTTCATTAACAAGTTTCACCATGCTAATCTTTTTTTTTTTTTTTTAATTTATTTAAATTTGTTTTGTTAGAGCTTAATTTTATTCTGTAATTTAGTTTAGGTGGGAGTGTAGGAGAGATGTACAAGTGGTTTGTATAGTCTGGCATGGCCTTTTTTATTCCTGTCTTTGGTTTTGGTTTTGGTTTTTGGTTCCTTTCCCTGTTTTGGCTATGTCTAAGATTCGGTTTGTCTTAGTTCCAACTGCACACTTGTGGAAATGAAAAGTAAAGGTAGCTGATTTTTGTTTCTTTCCCCCGATAACAGATTCTTGTCAATTTCATAAGTTTGCTTATAAAATTGTCTTACTTTACTGAAGCTTCAAGTTTCAAACCTAGCTTAACATTTAAACAAACTTTATGGATTGTATTATTTTTCTATAATCATGCTTTACTCACAGAGTAAAACATTTTGACTACTTTTGGTTTATAGTATTAAATTCAAGTAATTTAAGTTAGATTAAGGAATTATGTTAAGATCTCTGAATCTTTCTTCGCTCAGCATATCCCTTTTTGATTGAAAATCGAGTATTCACCATTCAATGAATTTTGATTTAGTGAATTTCGTTTTTACATGAGCAATCAAGTCTAACATATTTCAGAGTGGTGATAGTTTATAAGTATCATGTAATTGTGCTTAGTTGAAAATCTCATGATCTTAAAAGTCGTTGGTTAAGGGTAGGAGTAGAAGGAATATGTTACCTTCTTGTGATTTGTGAGGATAAAAGGAGATTAGGGACTGATTTTCTTCAATAATATAAAGCTTGCCTCGAGACGTTTTTGCAAAACCAAGAAGTATGGTTGTAATTGAAAAAGTGTTTGTTTCTGTATCAATAAGTAATAAAGGATTCTCATTGAAATGAAAAACTTCTCAGTCCTCTTGCAGATCCTGTCTTGGGGGCCATTGGCATTAGTTCCTGTTGTTGGTAAAGCTCTTCCAACCCTCATGGCATGTGTCCTTCTCAGTAATCTTGGAGCATCCATTGAAGAAGTTGCAAAAGATGCTGTTGTAGCAGAGTATGGCCAAAAACACAGAATGGTTGGTCTCCAGTCTTATGCCTTTATGGCTGCAGCTGCTGGTGGAATTCTAGGCAACTTACTAGGTGGATATATCTTACCCAAAGTGCCACCTACAACCATGTTCCTCATGTTTGGTGTTCTGTTATCTGTTCAACTTACAATCTCATTATCCGTAAAAGAGGGATCTCTTGGTTTGGCTCAACCATCTCATTATGATGTTCCAAGAAAATCAATTTCAGAAAGCATTAAGAAACAGATATCCAATCTGGTTATGGCAATTAGTGAGGAAAGCATATCCCGTCCTCTTACGTGGCTTGTAGCATCTGTTGCCATGGTCCCTATTTTGTCAGGCTCAATCTTTTGCTATCAAACTCAATGTCTTAATCTTGATCCTTCAGTAATTGGGATGTCACGAGTGATTGGCCAGTTGACACTTCTGACATTGACTGTACTATATGACCGGTACTGGAAGAAGGTTTCCCTGAGAAAATTGATTGGGATAGTGCAGATTTCGTATGCTTTTTCCCTCCTTCTTGACTTCATTTTAGTGAGACAGATCAATCTTCAATTAGGAATTCCAAATGAGGTGTTTGCCCTTTGTTTCTCTGGTTTAGCAGAAACTCTTGCACAGTTTAAGCTCCTCCCCTTTTCAATGCTATTGGCAAGTTTATGCCCACAGGGTTGTGAAGGCTCACTCACTTCTTTTTCAGCTTCAACATTGTGTCTATCATCAATTGCCAGTGGGTTTTTGGGTATTGGATTGGCTTCTCTGATTGGAATAACATCTCAAGATTACTCAAGTTTGCCTGTGGGTATCTTAATACAGTTTCTTGCGGCCCTGGTTCCATTACTATGGATTCATCATGTTCCCATGTCCCAACCTCTTGTTGAGAAGGTAGGAAAGAAAGGTATGAGTAAACGAACTCGAAAAAATAGAAGAGTTGGAAAAGTTGTGCTGGATTCAGTATATGTTTACCGCCGTGAAAGAGAATCTGGGGCACAGAAATGAACAATTACTTATGGTTCTGCATCAAGTTTTGAGAACAAAGACCAGAACAGAAGAATCTTATGGGTCTTCTGATCCTCGTTTCTGGTCATCTATCTTGAATTGATCATCTGTAGTAGCTCTGAGGTCACAGTTCTGGTCACAAGTTCAAGATAATCTTGTTTAAGCCACAGCTCACAGCCTCACAGTGACCTGTATGCCAAAAGTTTCGTGGTCTTGAAAAAAGGCGATTAGACTCCAATGAAGAGGAGTATTTTTGTTTTTGCCGCGGTTCATATCATAACTTCAGAGTTTTGAGGCTGAAGCTCAAGGTTTTCATATATCATATCAAGTTGTTCATTCTGTGAATTCAGGCAGCAACTCGGCTAATGGATGAGGATCATGAAGAAATGGCAGCTAGATTGTCTGCTCTTTCTCAATTGTACAAAGTCGATGAAATGAGTTGAAGTTTTGTTCAGGTCTTTGGTGTATACCTTTGAATATCAGCTTAATGAGCACTTCAATGCACTTGTACTTAACAGGGAACCCCAATAGATTTTGTTGGTGCTTGTCTTAAAAACAAAAAGTAGACAACACTTAAAATCAAAGAAAAGGAAATAAGAGCTAAGAAATTCATTCAAGTCAAACTCTTTCCCTATTTCCTTCAGCTGCATTAAGATTGCATTTGTTCCTCTAGGAAACTTGTTTAAGTTAAATTGTTTGCTTGATATATGAAAAGTTACCTCTCTTCTTGTGGTCGGATAACAAAAATTTTAGCAATGAGGGTTAGTTATACCTAGAGGTCAGTGGATATGTTCGAGTCACAGGAGAGATATTTAGCACATTTGTACAATTATCTTGATCTATTAGACTTGTAAAGTATTCTATGGTTCTGAGGATTATGTAAGCTCTAATGTGGGCAAAAGTAAACACTTTCTTAAACCGAAAGTCAACTTCTTTTTTCTTGTAAATTATAATTGAAAATTTTCCTTTTTAAAATCTGGCAACAGTTAGTATCAGGTGCTTTCAATTGTGCTAAACCAATTTAAAATACACAAGTGATACTTTTGAGAAAAGTATCACTTGCGTATTTTAAATTGGTTTAGCACAATTCTTACCTTGCGGAGTGTATTTCACAAAGATGTTGAAGAGCGCATAGCTCTCAAAAGTATCACTTGCGTATTTTAAATTGGTTTAGCACAATTCTTACCTTGCGGAGTGTATTTCACAAAGATGTTGAAGAGCGCATAGCTACAGGAGAGGATTACTTTACTTTCAACACAAGGACTTTGCTGCAGCAATCATAGTCATTTTACATTTTGGTGTTGCCATGAAGCTGCAACTATGGTTTGGCGTACTATACGCACAAGCTGGCATTGTCTAATAATAAGTTTTTTATGTAATATTGGGTGTTAATAAAGATGAAATCAAGAAGAAGTAGACCCGGATAAATGTTCTTCTATTGCGGCTGAGGGATTCTTTTCTGATACTATCAAAAGAAACAAGTATGACCAAGAGCTTCTTATTATCCTTCAAAAGGAGCCGCCACATACTAAGTCTTTGATTTATAGTCTGTCAACTTCTCTTATTGATGTAGAATTGTTCATAATCACCTTATAACAATCTCATTGTAATTGTAATTTTTTATTCCTTCATGTATAATCTTAACATCGCTAATTATTATTTTTTTATTCAATTATGTATATTTTGCATCCATTAATTTGTTTTTGGTTGTATGATATTATTGTCAACTTATAAAACTATTTACATTAAAAAATTTGAAACATGTGTATAAAAATCGAAAAGAAAGTATTCTAATCAACTGATTAGATCTCATATCAATTACCTAAATAGATTGACTAATGTGTAAACATTAACACCACCAATTGAGATGTGCTACATGTTAAAGTTTTAGGTTGTCTCTTCTGGAATTGGGTGTTTGGGATATTTTTGGCTCGTTTTGTTTAGCTGTTTTCTTGTAATACGATTCTTCATACAAATTCACACCCCTAAGTCTTGTGTCCCACCTAAAATTGACCCAAAACTGAAAATTTATTAAGATAAAAATTGCTGTTGAGTTAAAAAAAAAAAAAAAAAAAAAAAATTCAGAAGAATTCATTAAAAGAGACTAACCTCTGGTGCAAAGGGTGAAAATTTGTTGTTTGGAGAGTTAAATCAGCCATATTAGGAAGTCATGTACAGCTACTGAGAAAATTGGAATAGAAATTAGAAATATCAGTCAGATATAGGCCGAACAACATGCACCCACTCATAGTTTGCCGTAAAGACAATTTGATACCAGAAAGTTTGGAAATGACAAACACCCACTTTTTCTTTAGGTTCTGTTAGTGAATTTCGGCAGCTAAAGGGTAGTGTGGTAATCCCATGTTCAGCTGAAAAAAAAAAAAAAAAAAAAAGCAAACAAGGCTGGACGTTTTCAAAACCAGAAAATTTTTGGTCGGCTGCAGGGAAATGGCCGGGGAAACACTCACCAAATACTTGGCCCATTTCATGCCAATTTGTTCAAAAGCAACTGAGTATGCAGCATTTATATCAATTTGGGTATACTTTACCACCATGGTCAATGCCAAAGCCATCAAACAATAAATCATAGTAATCATAGACATTGAACCAACCAAACCAATCGGTATATCCCTTGGAGGACGCTTAGTCTCTTTAGCCATAGTTGCGACCATGTCAAAACCAGTATAAGACCAATAAACTACAGCTGCAGCTTCAAAAAAACCCATTTGCACCGAAGGGTGAAAATTGGCACTAAATTTGAACTCTTGCCATGAACAAACCCAACAACAATAACAAACACAATCACACAAGCAGGGAAATGGCCGAGAAAATCGAGGTGAGAGGGACATGGGTTTTGGAGAAGGTGATGTGGAGATTCAAATGGGAGTGAGGGCAGCATCCATGGACGCCAGAATCCGGCTAGTTCTGGATTGATCCGGCTGTCGCTAGGGTGAAGATGTGTCACAGGAAAGAGGAAATTCCGGAAAAAAAATGGGTCAATTCTGGCTGGGGATGGAAGAGGATGGTGATGGGAGGTGAGGAAAAAAGAAAAAAAGCCTGCAAGAATGGCGGCGGCGGCAGCTTTGAAGAGGAAAGGTGGAAGATGAAGAGTTGAGAGAAGAAAGGTGGTTTTAACTGCAGAAGCAAGGAATGAAATGACTTAATCACCCTTTATTTGTTTTTGAATTTATTATCTTACCCTTTTACAGTTAAATTTAACTAACAAATATTAACAGAAATAGTTGCTTGTCATATCCAAACTTTTTGGTACCAACCTGTCTTTACTATAAACTATGGGTGGGCGCACGTCATTCGGCCGTCAGATATATTCACCTGAGTGCTCAACGCCGATTGGCCAATCCATAACAGACTAAAGATTTCCCTCCATTGTCTATAAACCCCCCTCCCAAAACCCTTCATTTCCCTCCTTCCCTGCTTTTACTTGAAAACAAACTCAAAACAAAAGATTACAAAGTGAGAAACAAAACGCTTACTGACAAGAATCCATTCCCACAAATTCCTACCATCCAAGAACAACAAGCAGACCAAGATCAAGAAACCGCCACCATGGACTCCTCCTCCTTCTTTAATGACGATCCCACCACCAACACCACTACTCGCTTCTCCAACCTCCACCTCACCAACCACCCTTCCTGCTCCTCCTGCGGTTGCAATGGCAACTCAGCCGCCTCCTCCTCCACCCTCTTCTCCTCTTCTGCCTCTCTCAAACGTCCCTCCTTTGAACCCAACACTCTCCAACCCAGTTCCAAGAGACCCAACATCAAACCCACCTCTCTCTGTGGCTTCTCCAAGATTCCTCTTCCCACTACCTCCGCAACCACCTCACCCTCTGTCTCTGCCCCAGCCCCTAACACATCTCCGAGCCATTCTTTTCTGCGACGCTGCGTTTCTGATCTCGGAGACCCACTCCCAACACAAGTGGCGGCTGAAACACCTCAGTCGCCCCAGTCACAGAATGCGAACATGGTGTGCCCAGGGACTCCGTTGTCGGAGGCGAAGTTTCCGCCTATACCATCCACTTTAAGGCGGTCGACGTCGGACCCAAATCCGTATCCGGCCCCTACTTGTTCCAGTTCACATGACGGGGTGGGAGAGTACGATCTTCCTAATGCAAAGGTGCTTTTTAATGTTTAATTGTCAAGATTCTTGAGATTCATTCCAATGCTTTATCGTGTGATTTTGTGTCCTTACTGATAAAGGTTCTTGAATTGGACTGGAGTTTTTATGCGTTTAATAAAGATGTTTGAGTTTGTTTTGAGAGAAAATTTCTATTGTTCTTTTTAACGTTTAATCATCAAGATTTTTTATATTCATTTCATTGCTTTAATGGGATAAAGATTTGAGGGTTCAAAAAGGGAAATTTTATGTTTCATTTTATGATTGAATAAAGACTTTAGAGTTTATGCAGTGTTTCTAAATGTTACCCTGATCCGGCGTTTGATTGACATTGTTTGGGCAGTGGGCGAGGGAGGTTAGTAATCTTATGAAACAAGTGACTCGAAAATGGGATGAAAAACTTAGTTTTGAAGAAGATAAGGGCAGTGAAGAGAACCACAATCAGAACAACACCAACAATGTTGAGAACAACCATGCAACTATGGTATTTTTTTATTGTTTAATTTTTTATCGTTAGTCTCTCTGTGAAATATAACAAAATAAAGTGTAAAGATTAAAGTGGGTTATTCATTATTAATGCATTCAGGATAATTGTGGGGAAGATTGTGTTGAAGCTGTGACGATGGAGAAGGCTGGAGAGTGTTTGATTATCCATTTCAAGTGTCCTTGTTGCAGAGGTTATCAGATTCTACTCTCTGGGAAGAACTGTTACTACAAGCTCATGTAGACAATCAATCAACAATGAAAAACCTCATACATACTCTTAGGTTTCAGATTTTCTCATTGGTCTAGATTCCTTTTTAGTTTTTCTTTCTGTATAATTTTTTTTTGAAGATGGATTGAGTTCTCATAATTCTAACATTTTTTATGCTACTAACTATTCATAAAAAAGCTTCCTTTTACTACTGATAAGAGTTAAAACTTATGGAAGTTTTTACACAGTAGTAATTCATAATGTTTTGCTTTTTCTGATTGCTTCATATTGTTGTCAAATAATTTAGACTCTCAGTTTTATGTTTGTTTCTCTTGTTTAGATTGATGAAGTTTATGAATTATAGGGATTCGAAACTTCTTCAGAATTAAATCTTGCCTTTACATTCGCTCAATTAATTCAATTTTTCCTCTAATCCCGTAATTATCTGAAAGGAAGGATATCCTGCAAGTCCAAGTTTGCTCCATAATTAAAAATTAATGATAATTTATATTTCTTCACTCAAAAGTTTATTGACTACCATCCATCTTATCTTATTATAATTGGCTTATAAAAATTAATCCAATAACATAAACCATCTTCTTCATAAAATGGCTACTTCTTTTTCCCACTTTCTTCTCTCTTTTTTTTTCTTGCACTGCACTTCGATGCAAAACACAGCATTTGAAGCATATGCTATAATTGGTATCAGTATATATAATCAATAAAGAACTTTATTTGATGGTATGAAGTTATTACATAACAATTTCAAAACCTTAACTGCACCTACTTTTCTAAAGAAATAGAAACTCAAGATCCTTTCCATCTTCCCCAATCACCATACTTAATGGTGGGTGCACATACATGGACATGGGTTTAATAGAACTTAAAATGCAACATAACATGGGGAACGATTGTGTAAATTCCAAGGCTGTCTACCCATATTCATCTAACTTAACTTAATATTAATCATATCTGTGTAAGGACTTCCATTAGGCAAATAACATTACTTTTTTCTTTCAAGTTCATACAACTCTTATCAGCAGTAAAAGAAGCTTTATATGAACAGTTAGTAGCATAAAAGTCTCAGAATCATCAGAACTCTCTCCACCTTCAAAAATTATACCAAAAAAAGAAAAAGGAATCTAAAGCAATGAGAAAAATCAAAACCTAAGATGAGGTCTGTCATTGTTGATTGATTGTCTACATAAGCTTGTAGTAACAGTTCTTCCCAGAGAGTAGAATCTGATAACAAGAACGTTCGCCCATCTCATTACATTCTTTGGCTCTCATTACATTCTTTGGCGATGGAGAAAAGGTATCAAAGGTTCTTATGTTCTTGATCATAGCTGCAAATGGGAGGAAACCTGAAGATGGTTACAAGGTTACTGTTAATACAAGAGCATTCGATGAGATACTGAAGAAGCTTCATAAACTATAGTTTATAAAGATTAGGTTTAGATGTATTTGATTTTGCCATTGTTATAATTCATTAAATAAGAGATTATTATATATAACAACATATATGTTTGGTAAGTATCAGTTACTGGATCTTTATGGATACTTGGAAATTTTTCAATGACAAACAGTATTTTTTTCATGGAACTAAATATTTTTTCAGTCCTTAAATCTTTACAGGTTTTTTTGTATTGTGTTGAAGAGCACATTGGATCGTTCATTTCATTTGAAAGCTTGATTATCAGTGATGGCAATGTTATCTAATGTTCCTATTATAAATGTTAAGATTCAATCAAACTCAAGTCTAACCTGTTTCTCTAACAAACACAACTAACACACACAAAATCAAGACGAATCAACCAAGAAAGAAAATCAAGAACACAACCAAGATTTTACCATGATTCGTTTATTCCAAAGAAATAAACTACATCCACGTTGAGCTCCAAGTAATTTGAGGCTCACTGCACTATAAGGATCAAGTTCTTTACAGATTACAAATCAACCAACATCAATAACCCAAATCTCTCACTCACACAAACCTTCAAACCACCCGTAATCACCACAAGACAACTAATACAAAGTGTCTCTACCAGAAGAACCTACTGCTTCTTCTACCCACAATTTTAACAACAGACTGTGACCCGATTACAAATTGAAGAGAAACTATACTAAGAAACCCTAGCACAGTCGAAGAACGTGAGGGAGAGTATCTTGATCTTTCTTTTTCTTTCTGTGAAACTGAACTTTAAATAGGTTGACTATCTGGGTTGTTTTCACCGTTGGATTAAGTTGGATTCAATGGCTAAGATCTGTCATTTAACATAACTCTAAAACGGCAGCGTATAAGATAGCCCAATACGACACCGTTTGAAGCTTCACTCAACAATCTCCATCTTGAAGCTTTAACACATCACCTAATCAGGAACCTTACCGGTGCAATTCACCCACAAATCACTCATCATAGCTCGATTGCTGTAGCTCACTCAATATGCAATAGGTTCAAACAGTGCTTGAACTTGGCTAGAGAGACCACCTTTTATCCCATATCTGCAGGGTTGTCCTCGGTTAGCACCTTTTTCAGAATGATCACCCCTTTATCCATCAGCTCCCTCACAAAATGGTATTTGACATCAACATGTTTGGTCTTCTCATGGTAGATAGGATTCTTGCTCAAATACATGACACTTTGGCTGTCTGAATAGACAGTGACAGCACCCTTAAGTAGTTTAACTTCTGACAGTAGCCCTTGGAGCTAGAGAGCTTCTTTGAACACATCTGTCACAGTCACATACTTTGCCTCAGTTGTGGATAAAGCAACGATTGGCTAAAGCTGGGACTTCCAACTCACATAGTTTCCTCCCAAGGTGAACAAGTATACAATGGTCAATTTTCTCGAATCTTTGTCACCTGCAAAATCAGAATCTACAAATCCTACAAGATCAAGTGAATCATATCTTTTTCCATATTCCAAGCCAACATGCACAGAACTATTAATGTATCTAAGCAGCCATTTAAGAGCAAGCCAATGTTCAAAACTAGGGTTTGACATGAATTGCAAAGGAAATGTCTGGTCTGGTGCTTATCATGGCATACATTACTGACCCAATTACGTTTGCATAAGGGATGTTTTCCATTTTGATTAACTCAGCATCAGTTTTGGGGCATTGTGCTTTACTTAACATAAAGTGTCCAGTCAAGGGTACATTCACAATTTTGGATCCTGTCATGCCAAATTTAGACACTAATTTTTGCAAGTAAGACTTCTGATGGACTTTTAACTCATGGTTATTTTTGTTTCTATCTATTACCATGCCTAGAATTCGTTTAACACATCCTAAATCCTTCATATCAAATTTGAAGTTTAACTTTTCTTTAGCTTTTCTATCCTAGGCTTAGACTTGCAAATTAAAAGCATGTCATCAACATACAATAGTAAATATAAAAGCATGTCATCAGATAGAGCATAATAAAAATAGCTATGATATTTACTTCTATTGAAGCCAATGCTAAGAATGAATGCATCAAAACGCTTATACCACTGCCTAGTGGACTGTTTCAGTCCATATAAGGATTTGTGAAGTAGGCACACATGGTTGGGCTGGTTTCTATCTACAAAACCAATGGGCTATCTCATGTAAATCCTTTCTTCTAAGTTCCTCTGCAAGAATGCGGTCTTAACGTCAAGTTGTTCTAATTCTAAATCCTTATGGGCAACTATGGCTAACATGATCCTAATGGTCTTGTATTTCACAACAGGGGAGAATATCTCATTAAAATCTATTCCCTCCCATTGTGTGTAGCCTTTGGCTACCAACCTAGCCTTATATCTAGAAGGGTCAGAAAAGTTCATACCTTCGTTATGCTTGAATAACCACCTGCATTCAATCAATTTCTGGTCTTTGGGGTTAGGAACCAAAGACCAGGTTCCATTTACCTTTAGGGACAACATTTCTTCTTCCATTGTAGCTTGCCATTTTTCTCTATTTTTGGATCTAACTGCTTCTTCATAGTAGTCTGGTTCTGTCCTCTGCATTTGAGCCCTAGCCACTAGGGCTGTGTAGATGAGATCAGCATAGGAGTATCTTGTTGGTGGCCTGATTTATCTCCTACTTCTATCCCTGGCCAACTGGTATTGTGCTAAGGGGTCAGGTTGGGGTTCATCAGGTTCTATAGCATGTTCCTCTTCCAACTCAGGGTTCAAGTCTAAACCATTGGTTTCAGCTTCCAGTTGCTCCAAATCAAGTTGAGTTACAGTAGGCTCCACCTCAATTTGGACTCTCTCTCAGGTTGATCCTGATTCATAGATTTGCTGCTAGTTGAACCTGCATCAGAGTTAGTAGTTTTGTAAGGAAATATATTCTCATTAAAAATTACATCCCTACTGATTATTATCCTAACCCTAGGGGCACTCCTTTCCCACAGCCTACACCCTTTGGTTCCTTCTTGATAACCTAAGAAGACATAACTAATGGACCTAGGCTCTAACTTCCCTTCACTGATATGGACATAAGCAGTACATCCAAAAGTCCTCAGGTGTACTAGGCTAGGCTTCCTATTACTCCATTTTTCCTCTGGGCACATGAAACTGATAGCACTTGAGGGGCTTCTGTTAATAAGGTAGGCAGTAGTGTTCATGGCTTCTCCCCAAAAAGACTTTGGTAGGCAGGATGTAAAAAGAAGGCACTCACCTTCTCTAAGAGAGTCCTATTCATTCTTTCAGCAACCCCATTCTGCTGAAGGGTTTT